GGGGGGACTGTGGAGGAAGGTGCAGATGAAATGTTATCTTAAAAAAAACAGTGTGTGTCCAGCACACACAAACATATAAAGTCACACCCACACACACACACACACACACACACACACACACACACAAACACACACACTCCCTGAAGAGGACCCTGCTGTGTGTCGGTCTGTTACTTCAGAGGCGGACGGAGACACATCTTATCTCATGCCTTTTTTAATTCCCTTTAAACGAGTCCCTGCGCCTCCAGACGGCGGGTTATTATGGGCTGGTGTGTAGCCGTGTGTCGCAGTGTGTGTGTGTGTGTGTGTGTGGAGGGGCTACGAGCACTTCCACACACACACAGCCAGACTCCCCCCGAAGAACATGTACAGCAGGTTCTTCACCTCGTGGGTCACCTCGAAGCCGAAGCCCTCTCCGATCACAACGTGCCACGAGCTGCCGAACTTCTTATCCATCGACTCTTTGATCATCTTCGCTGCACTCTGGAGACACGGAGGACAAATCAACAAGTAAACAACAAGATGTAATGTGAGCGAATGACCGCCCCCACACAACAACATGTACCTCCTCAATATGATGACTTGTCCTGGCTGCTACTTCTTAGTTGGACTTTTTAACACTACTTTAAAACAATACTTTTACACCTAGCTTCGTACTTTTGTTGTTTTTTCTCTTCTTTGCTTCGAGCAGCAGGAGAAGTGTGATATAAATGACATGTAGTTTTATTATTACTGTAACATAAATCTGTAACTAACTGCAATAACTACTCTTACAGTTACTTATACCTCTGTCCTCTGGCCTGCGTGTGAACCCTAAACTGCAGCTCAGCTTCTCTCCCTATACGCGGGCATAATTGTAATTGTGTATTTGTAATATTACGCGCATGCCTTTGTCTAATCGAGCGGCCGGAATCATAAAAAATGTAACCTTAAAAGCATAATAACTACTTTAACTTACTTCAATAACAACTAAATAAATAATACATTCACTTTAAGCAAAAACAGCAAGTAAATAAATGTTAAACTATGAAATAATATAAAGGAAGATAAAGCCCCGACACTTTTTCTCCATCTTTACTTTAGCTTTAACAACGTAGTGTCTCCTCTGTGGGACGAGTAAAGGAAATGTGATTCTGTCGTGGAGATGGAGCTTCTCTCCGTGGAGTCGCAGATACGTCTGAAACAAACACTGGGATGTGTATCAGTCACAGCTCAGAGAGGACCGCGGACTGATCCAACATGAAGATATTTTGCAGTGATTTAATCTCAATGAATATATGAAGCTGAAAGAATGACATAATCACACCAATTAGAGAAAGGCCTGAATCGATGCGTCTTCAGGTCGATGGCAAGTTAAACAAAAAGCTGCTTTTCTGGATGGAGTTGGTTTGATAAGAGCTAGGCTAAGCTAACATTGTAGCTGCTCTGTCCAAATGAAATAAGGCAGAGACTGTATCTGTCGCACCACAGACCGTCTATGGACTGAGCGTGAGCAGAGAGGAGGTCCAGTAGAGCTCTCAATGTGAGATTAAAGGACGTTACAGAGTTCACACTCACTTCATTGTTGGTGGCAAACTTCTCGCAGGCCGTCACACAGAGCTCCATCGTCTCCACTCGCATTTCCTCTGGCATGTCTGTGTGCTGAGGACAAACAGAGACAGACATTTCACACTGTGCACAACAACAGAAAGAGAGACATGTGATGCATCCAACAGCAGTTTATGAAGCCTGGTGTCAGAACTGTTGAGTCAGATCTCTTTCTCTCTGCATGCTGTGTGCTCTCAGCGTTCTAGTTGCAAAAGGACAAATGGAGATGAGCGTTTGAAATAAATTGGTCGATTTCTAAAGTCAAGAAAAACTTCTGTTGGACATTTGAGGGTTTTGGTTTTAATGATGGAGTCCATTTCAACATATTGACCCAAGGAAAACAAACATGTCACCCACAGATAAATATTCCTGATCACGTGTTGGCAGACCAGTCAGTGTATTTGTTGGAGTAGATTCAGTTTGTAGAAACAGACCCAGCAAAGCACTCAAATACATAATACAACCTCTCTTAGAAACATACAGAGTATCCCTTTACTGTGGCTGAGTATTCCTACACTCTGGTACTTCTACTCAGTACAAGACCTGAGTACTTTTACTCAAGAACAAGATCCGAGTACTTCTACTCTTATTTAAGAACAAGATCTGAGTACTTCTACTTTTATTCAAGAACAAGATCCGAGTACTTCTACTTTTACTCAAGTGCAACATCTGAGTACTTCTCCCTCTACTTGTTGTGTATTCATGTTGTCATGGCATTAGGGTCAGAGTGTGTGTGTGTGTGTGTGTGTGTGTGTGTGTGTGTGTGTGTGTGTGTGTGTGTGTGTGTGTGTGTGTGTGTGTGTGTGTTACCCTGATGAGAGGGAAGCTGTGTAGCCTCTTGTAGTCGGCCTCCTCTTTCTTTGCCTCTCCAGTCCCTGCCATTCCGACTCCTGCCAAGCATTTAAACACGTTAAAAACACACACATTTATACACGTTAAAAACACACATTTCTTCACGTTAGCAACCAAAAGCCGACCCTGCTAGCTTGATTTGAAACCATGAAGCTAACAACAGTGTAACCTTACCCAGCTATCGCTGAGCACAGACAGCTGGCTACAACAAGTATTGTTATTACACACCTTCGAAATATGATTTATATGATAACAGCAGGTAACGGTTTGTTTTTAGCGGTTAGCTGCTGTGGCTAATTAGCATAGCTCGTTTGATAGCACAGTGTTTTTCTACCCTGAGAAATCTACTTTTTTTAAAGTGCTGTCGAAATATCACGAGTAACACCGTGTTGTTATGGGAGGATACATGCAGAGGGACATAGAGGAGGATATTTAAATAGATAAGAGTTACTTACGAGGCGTTTCTCCTCCGAGAACTTCTCCTGTTTCTGTTCGGTTGTTAAGGAAACATTAAACACAGGAGGTCCCGCCTACTACCACATAGCTTAATTCCCATTGGTTCAGGGGCTGTCGCTACGGAAGAAACCCCCGCCTACTACCACCTAGGTTCCTTCCTATTGGTTAAGAGGATGTCAATCAACGGACATAGTCGTTTATCTTTCTACTGTCAGTTGGCCAATTTCATCCCAATAACGTCCCTATCATAAAGTCAAGTTGTACCAAAATAACTTCAAAACATCTCCTCACGCTTCTGGTGGTTTAATAACATATGTATAAGGTGTGAAGGCTTTTGCATCGAGGATACTTTTGTTTTATTGCATTTGCTTAATTTGAGTGAATATTCTATAAGCAACTTTCTTTTTAATTATTATTTTTTATGGCCAGAATTTTAATTAATTTTTTTGCAAAACAGTTTTTCATTCAATATTTTTTTTAAAGGTTTGTATAAAAATAATATATGTAATTCTTATTTTTATCACTTAATTTTTTTATTTCAGCAAAACATGTTTTTCATATTAAATATCTTTATTTATTTATTTTCAAGTTAGTTTTTATGATTGTATATTTTATTTTATTATCATTTTATTCTTTTAATTATTTTTTCATTTTTTGTATTGTTCTTATTATTTTTTATTATTTTTTGTCCCATTTGCTTTCAAGTCCCTCAGAGGTGAGGGGGGCGTCACCCAGCAGCCCCTCCTCACCGACTATATTGTGTGTGTGTGTGTGTGTGTGTGTGTGTGTGTGTGTGTGTGTGTGTGTGTGTGTGTGTGTGTGTGTGTGTGTGTGTGTGTGTGTGTGTGTGTTTATTTTTTTTGTTCCCATCAG